AAAAAAAAAAAAAAAAGTTGAAAAGAATTGGAACATTTCTAGGTTGTGGTGATGCTATTGTGTAGTTGCAAACTGTTATTCATTTTTTGCTTTATCTTCAAGGATCAAGCATCTAAGTGGTTTGTGTTGAAGTTGACTCGAGGATTATGAGTTCACGCTTGTCACGTTGTTTATAAATTTATAGACAATACTTCTGTTCCCTAATTATTCGTTGAATTTTATTTTGATTTGACCTGTGCTTTTCTGAGGAGGGTATTTGATGGCAAAAAAAATTAGATACCTGTTTAGACCAAATTTTACATTTTTCTGTAAAAAGACGATGAATGACGCTCGTCCACTGAACAAAGTCAGCAAAAGAATTTGTCACGTGACAGTCATTCAATTAAAAATGAATATATGGTAAGTAGATCTGGCCTGTTTAAGTTTAGGAACAATTTTAATGTCTGAAAAGGAGGGAAATAAATGATTATTTTGGAATTTAAAAAGACAGCAGTTATCAGCATTAATGGGTTTAAGGAATTCAAAAAGTAATAGTTTTTGTTTTGAGCAATTAAAAAGTAATAGTTGACACAAGGAAGATACCGGAGAGAAAATTGTCTGAAGAAATTCAGAGTAACCTTTGATGGAAAGATGCCTTTAAAACAGGGATTAATTATTATGGGAAGATACTATCAAATTCATCAAAGTTTATGACTCGTACATTTTAATAGTAATTTTAGCCTATAATTAGAAATATGATTTATTTCAGGGACTGTTTTATTAGTTTGCCGTAACTTAAAAACTTTTGAAATTAATAAAAGTGTTCTAATCTTTCGTTAATTTTTTTGTTGTCACTTTACTTCTTGTAATTATGTCAATTGTGATCATCCAAGGAAGTTCAAAAATAAGACAATTGAATTTAACAACAACCAGTTACATGATATCTCTCTGTAAAAGGGATTAAGTCCATCGATTGCTGGAGAAATCTTTTGTGGAGACCAACAATTTTTTGCCATGCTCGATAGAATAACATTACTAATTTGGATCAAACATGGTGCGAACAAAGAGGCAAGATGAATGAGTGATTGGAACAGAACGCAACAAAAACATGAAGGTTATGCTTGGCAACACCAACCATGTTGAAGGAAGTTCAAGTGCCAACCTCGTGATACAAGGATATGAACAAACTAGTGGCCAAAACAGTGCACAGCTGTAGGACTTAGTGCAAAACCTGAAAAAAGTATTGTATCATCCTCATTCAAGTAGTCGACAAGATTTGATGAATGTTATGCATAAATTAATATAAGTGGCCAGACAAATATGTCAGGACATATGAATCGAAGATCCTCTAATGTAATTCGAAATGTAATAGTAGAGGAAGGAAATACCAACCTAGTGGTAATTCTTGTAGAAAACCAGATGCCACTGATGGCACCCAACATGTGTCATCGTTTTCAACATCAAAATCACTTTAATATGATGTTCAAAAGAGAACTTGTGTAGGTTTTTCCAAATTTTTGTCATCCTAGATATCTTAGAGATAGAAATGGGTCAATGATGACTCAAGATCACCCCAGTAGGGGACGTGAGAGGCACCAAACGCCTCCTATGGATCCATTTGAGGAGATGAACCCCAGATTTGGTGGGTAACCCATTGAGCCATTTGAAAACATAGAGATCCAAAACAATATGGCTGTCAATAAACCAACTAATGGAGATGATTCAAGATTTGAATGGTTCTGACTTTCAAAAGACAGAGAGAATAATTTTTAAAAAATCATATCCCCATACTATCCCATACGGACAAGTTGGGAATAGTGAGAATTTGAAAATGAAGTTATTCTTATAATTCTTGACCAAAATCGCATCTTTTGAAATGAGTCAGAAGTGTCAATGGACGATTAATCTAAACTAAGGTAGAAGCCTAATGAGTCTACAGAACAGTACATTGACAGATTCAATAAAGGAAGAAACAAGTGTCATGTTTATATGCCTGAAATAGAAGTTGTAAAATTATCCCAAAATGTTTTAGATTTGGAATTAAGAAAGAAGTTTGAAGGAATGGAGTTTAGAGATTTATTTGAACTCTTAGTCAAGATTACTTAGATGTGAGGTGTTGCTTAAAGAGGAGCAACAAAGAAAAAGCAATGCGTTAGGCACCTATTACCATGATTTATATGGAGACAAGGAAATTCATGTCGAACAAGTAATAGGGAAATCCCCAATTGTGTGAGATACTTTGAAAAGGATAGAAGATCCTGTAAACATGCCATCAAATCACATATTCAAGAAGGATTCCTTGTCGACATATCGACAATATTTTTTTGACTTGTCAATAACTGATGCTCTCTTTGATGAGATGGTTATCCAAAAATTCATTACCCTTTTCCAAGGATATGTTCCTCCAGAAAAAGATAGAAAGGGGAAAGAATTTTGCAAATGAAATAATTCATTTCAACACTCCACCAAAAATTGCATTAATTTCAGAAATCGTGTGCAAGATTTGATACAAAAAAGGATGCTCAAACATGCAATCCAAGAAAAAGAAACAATGGGTGTTGACAATAACCCTTTCCCAGGTAAGTGGAAGTTAATGTGATTTTTGTTAACACGTAGGGATCCAAAAGGGTTGCTAGTTCGATTGTGAACGAGAAGGCAGAGAAATAAAATACAAGAATTGCCCCAAAAAGAAGCGGCCAATTACCAGTAGGCTTAGCCCCAAAGAGGAGGAAAAACCATTGGTTATATGCTTCAGATGTGCCAAGGAATTGACCAAACCAGAGGCCATATCCCTGGATGATATTGTGTCAGAGGGGAAGGAGACATTCAACTCTGCAATGGTACTTAGAAAATCTTCGATGGTGTTGATCCATGAATCTTTAAATTACAAGAAATATACACCCATAGAAATGGTCCCAACCATTTTCAGGGGAGAGATAGACACCAAGAACAACTCACCACGGGAAAACCAAGAAAGAATGGCTTCAAAATATTGACCATATAATAGGGACTTCCAATGCCAAAGAAAGTGTATGACATAAGAAGAGAAGAGTGCCTAAAAGAGAAAAGGAGAAAACATAAAGAAAGGTTTGAAGCCAGGGTTGTAAGTAGACCAAGAATGGTTGTTCGTCCTGAAGTAGAATGGGGCAATTGGCATCGCCTGCAACACCCAAAATTCTCTTATGTGGTTGGTACGAGCCACTAACTAGAACTCAGAAAATGAGGGAACATAAGAAATTTGCTGCTTGGATGAGCAGGCGAGATCCAACTCCTAGGGGGTACTATACCCCAAAAAAGAGGCCAACCTAAAGGGAAGAAGCAACATGCGACTTTGAATTAGGGATCAGAATAAAAAAAAATGGAGACAATCCAAAGTCGAAAGGAAATTCTGAATAAAAAAATTATAGAATTTAAACAAGTTCAAGATTTGAATAAAGAAAATCAGAAAAAGACAAAGACTCTAGCTAGAAAGGAAAGAGACATTACAGGAAGATAAGAACATGGGATTAGAAGATGACCTCATGGACTTCGATAAGGAAATGACCTTAATTCAAGGAGATGCTTACATATACCCAATGAAAAAAAACCAAGCTAATTCAAGACACAAGCCACATGAAGTTTGTTTTCATTATATACAAGAGGAGGGAGATATATTTTTTGTTTGTAACCAATGTGCAATTCTAATTTAAACCTTGTCTTTTGTTCTTTATTCAACATCCCACATCAGTTGAACAAGGGAGTTTGTAATCCCTCTAGTGCTATAAAAGGTTCTTGATGAGTGTGTGCAACACATTATTTTATTGTGTAACTCCTTCACTTGATAATAATGTATAGCACAATACCAATCAAAATACAAATCTTTATTTAAAAAAAAAAAAATTGACACACTACAGTCCTTTATAATACAAACCTCTCTTAAATTCTCTTATAGTTTTAATGGACATAAAGAAACTTCTTGTTGTCTTGTTCGTTCGTCATTGGAGCTAGAGAAAGTCCTCAATTCCAAGGAGAATTTGCAAAAATCTGTTTCCATCGAGAATTGAATGGAGTGCCAAAAATATTTTTATTTGACACATTAGGAAATTGGAATAAGTCGAACTATTTGCTCTAGATACCCAATACTTCCCAAACTCCATCCATTATGTCTCATTCTCTTTATATTAAAAAACTAAAACTCCACACTGCTTGCTTCAA